TGAAATTGGCACATGTGGCACTGTTGAACCTAATCGCCGGGGCTTCCCCCAACGTCTTCGAAAGGTGGAAAAAGCCTGCTTGAGAAATGAGGAATTGCTCACAGTGAAGTGGAAGGACAAACAGGATGTTCTGTCTTCCATTCACACAGATGTAAGTGGGCAACAGGCTATACATGTAATTTTTGGATTTACGAGGAAAAAGATAGTCAGGTGCAGCCCCCTGGATGCCCAGACTACATTGGGAGCAGTGGCAAGATAGTTTAGGACTTGGTGTCACCCTTGTTCCATATGGGGGTACCACTTATATGAACAATTTTTATACAAGCGTGCACTATTTAGACATTTATACAGTCTTGGAATTGGCGTATGAGGCACCGTGCGACCCAATCACCAGGGCTTCCCTCAACAGCTTGTAAATACCAGTCTTAGAAAGGGGAAAACCGCCTGCTTGAAAAATTATAGCACACAGTGAAGTGGAAGGACAAACAGGATGTCCTGTCTTCCATTCACGCAGACACAACCATCCAAATTACCATGGCAGCTGGTGTTGTTGAGAAGCCCCTGTGTCCACGATTATACCTTAACATGGGAGGGGTGGAGTTCAACGACCAGATGATGAAGCCGTACTTAGTCCGTACTTAGTTTCCCGAAAAGCCAGACGCTGGTACAAAAAAAGTGTCTGTTTATTTCAATTGGCTTTATATAATGCTTTTGTACTTTACAAAGCAACTGGACATAGTGGATCCTTCCTAAAATTCTAGGAAGAGATCATCACTGCCCTTTTGTATCCAGAAGGTGCTGTGGCCGAAACCCCCAACCCAGATGCAGTTAGCCGGCTGCATGAGAGGCATTTTTCCCGATGCCATTTCTGGTACCTCAACCCAGAGAAACCCCCATGTCTATAGCAGACATGGAATTGGGCGTGACAGCCGCTCCTTCCTTTTTTTTTGTCTCTCCTGTCCTGGCCAACCTAGCCTCTGCATCAAGGACTGCCTCCATTGCTACCATACACTAGTGGAGTATTAGTATAGGGTAGAGCATGGCACAGTTCAGGGTACATTAAATACACAGGGTCTCAAAAGATGTTAGATAGTCTGTAAACTGGCTATCACATTTGGGGAGACCCTGCAATCTGTTTTAAAAAGTTAAAGTTTAAAAAAAAAGTACAAATTCCAAAAAAAAATTTAAAAAACAAAAATAGTTGTAGTTTTTTTTTATTCTTGTTACTGTTCTACTGTTACACTTTTACTGTTTATTGTTAACCATTGCTCTTTTCTTTGCAGGATTGCTTTCAGTTGCAGCACCGACCTGTTTATTCTGACAGGAACTTGCTCTCAGAATACACATAAATCAGTGTGGGCAGCGCTGTTCGATGATATTTTTCATCCGCAGTTAAAAAAGAGCATATAAGCGAAAGCATGGGGGCCTGGGGTGGCCAGTGGATGGATGGGCCCCTATGCTTCGGCATATATACTTTATAATATTTGTTGACACATTTCATGTGTGCCCACCATTAGAAGTGGGTGGATGCAGGGAGATATATTCTAATGGTGGGCCTACCACACACTTTTTGAGTTACTGTTTTATTGTTAACCATTGCTGTTTTCTTTGCAGGAATGTCATTCAACTGCAGCGCTGATTTGTTCTGACAGCAACAGGGTCTTGCTCTCAGAATATACATACAGTTGCAAGAAAAAGTATGTGAACCCCTTGGGATTACGTGGAGTTTTGCATGAATTGGGCATAAAATGTGCTCTGAACGTCATCTAAGTCACAACAATAGAAGAACACAGTCTGCTGAACATAATACTACACAAACATTAGATGTTCCCATGGTTTTAATTGCACATAACATGTAAACATTCACAGTGCAGGGAGGAAAAAGTATGTGAGTCCCTAGCTTAATGACTTCTCCCAGAGCTAATTGGAGCCAGGAGTGAGCCAACCTTGACTCCAATCAGTGTGATGATATTGGATGTGTTGCTGACAGCTGTCCTGCCCTTAAAAAACACACACCTGTTTTGGGTTTACTGGTTTCAAGAAGCACTCTCTGATGTGAACCATGCCTCGCAGAAAAGAGCTCTCAGAAGACCTATGATCAAGAATTGTTGACTTGCATGAAGCTGGAAAGGGTTACAAAAGTATCTCCAAAAGCCTTGATGTTCATGTGTCCACGGTAAGACAGACTGTCTACAAATGGAGAAAGTTTAGCACTGTTGCTACTCTCCCTAGGCATGGTCGTCCTGTAAAAATGACTGCAAGAGCACAGCGCAGAATGCTGCATGAGGTAAAGAAGAATACCAGAGTGTCAGCTAAAGACCTACAGAAATCTCTGGCACATGCTAACATTTTTGTGTTGACACATCTACAATAAGGAAAACATTAAACAAGAATGGAGTACATGGGAGGACACCACGGAGGAAGCCATTGCTGTCCAAAAAAGAATATTGTAGCACGTTTGAAGTTGCAAAAGAGAACCTGGATGTTCCACAGCACTACTGGCAAATATACTGTGGACAGATGAAACCAAGATTGAGTTGTTTGGGGAAGAACACACAACACTATGTGAGGAGAAAAAAAGGCACAGCACACCAACATCAAAACCTCATCCCCACTGTAAAACATGCCGGAGGGAGCATCATGGTTTGGGGCTGCTTTGCTGCCTCAGGGCCTGGACGGATTGTTGTCATTGATGGGAAAATGAATTCCAGAGTTTATCAAGACATTTTGCAGGAAAACGTACGACCATCTGTCCGCCAACTGAAGCTCCGCAGAGGATGGGTGATGCAACAGGACAATGACCCAAAGCATACAAGTAATTCAACAAAACAATGGCTGCCACAGCACAGAAATACGCCTTCTGGAGTGGCCCAGTCAGTCAGAGTCCTGACCTCAACCCGATTGAAATGCTGTGGCATGACCTTAAGAGAGCGATTCACACCAGACATCCCAAGAATATTTCTACACTGAAACAATTTTGTGAAGAGGAGTGGTCCAAAATTACTCCAGATCGTTGTGCAGGTCTGATCTGCAACTACAGGAAACGTTTGGTTGAGGTTATTCCTGCCAAAGGAGGGTCAATCAGTTATTAAATCAAAGGTTCACATACTTTTTCCTCCCTGCACTGTGAATGTTTACATGTTATGTGCAATTAAACCATGGCAACATCTAATGTTTGTGTAGTATTATGTTCAGCAGACTGTGTTCTTCTATTGTTGTGACTTAGATGACGTTCAGAGCACACATTTTATGCCCAATTCATGCAAAACTCCACGTAATCCCAAGGGGTTCACATACTTTTTCTTGCAACTGTAAGAAATGGGTGGATGCAGAGAGGTATTCTAATGGTGAGCATACCACACAATTTTTCTGGCAGAGATTTCTTCTCTTTTTTTTCATTCAGCCCATAGGCTGCATAAAAAAAAAATAACATAGCATATACCCCCAATAAGGACCAGTGACGTACTGGTACATCACTGGACTTTGAGTGGTTATACCAGGATGATTCCTGCAGCTGCAGGCATCATCCTGGTATAATTTTTTTCTGCCGGCCATGGGCTTTCATATAAAAGCAATCCTAGTGGCCTTCTTGGGCAGTCCCGTGCCATTGGGGGAGCCTGAGAATGCAGCTGATGTTTAGGCCAGCTGACTGTACAGCTGATTGGAGACCGGAATGGTGCCAATCATCTCTATAGTCTAAGAAATCGGAAGCTACGAGCATTTCATCACTTCAGTTTCGCAGGATATACAGAGTGCCATTTGTAAATTGGGAACACGTCTGATTACACCGATCTTGGATTGATTAGATAATGTAAGGGCAGAGGAGATATCTAGAGTCTGATAGACCCCAGATTTCTCAAAAAAGAATATGTAACAATGCCCATCTAAGTTATATGGGATATTTGAATTCCCTGTGATAGCATTAAAAGTGATAAAAAAAAATGAAAGGGACAGTGTACAAATTAAAAAAAATCAAAATAGCTTGAAAAAAAAAGTATCCTCGCCTCCCACGCGCGCGCATTTGCATGCGCAAGAGTTAACCCAGAGCCAGTATGTAAACAGCGGTTGCACCATGTATGTGAGGTATCGCCACAAACGTCACATCAAGGGCAGTAATTCTAGCACTAGACCTTCTCTGTAAATCTAAAATGGTAGCTGGTAAAGGCTTTTAAAGCGTTACCTATGGATATTAAAAATGTATGCAGTTTGTCACCATTGCACAGGGCATGCACAGATTTATTTATATCCATGGTTATTCCAGTGAGAATCTTACATATTTTAGAAATCCCATGTTTCCCATCACCCCATGTATCTAATAAGTGCTCAAAGGGTTCCAATCCTTTCGTTTTCAATGGCTTTGGAAGCTTCCCTATAAAGTGTTTCGACTGAAAATAACGCCACTCATCAATACTCATTCAAATTTCCATCTTTTGTTCTAGATCCTTAAGTGAACCTATTCCCCCACCACCACCACCATCTCCCAACCGTATATCTTCCTTCTTTATCCACTTCCCAGTGACACTTTCTTTATCTGGAGGGAAAAACTCTGTGGACCATAAGGGCATTAACAGTGAATTATATTCCCACCCCTTTTGTTTATGTAAAACATCCCATCCCATCAAAATACTTGTGCTATCTGCTAATCCTCGGGATTGTGGCGGTATCCATACAATTCTACTAAGGTTAGTGTGACTCAGCGTCTTTTCTATTTTTACCCAACTTTTCCCATGTGAATTATGTGTCCAATCAAAAATTCTTGTCAGCATTACCGAATTATAGTACCTTTTCAAGTCTGGAACTCCTAGTCCACCTTTCTCTTTATTTCTACTTAAAATTTCATGACTTATTCTAGGTTTTTTTTATTCTTTCAAATAAATCTTAACATTTGTTTAATTATTCTAAAATATATTGTATTTTTCGCTCCATAAGACGCACCTGACTATAAGACGCACCTAGGTTTTAGAGGAGAAAAATAAGAAAAAAAATATTCTGAACCAATGGACTGCAGACACAGTACAGGGGATGACCAGAGACTGCAGACACAGTACAGGGGATGACCAGAGACTGCAGACACAGTACAGGGGATGACCAGAGCCTGCGGACTCAGTACAGGGGATGACCAGAGCCTGCGGACACAGTACAGGGGATGACCAGAGACTGCGGACACAGTACAGGGGATGACCAGAGACTGCGGACACAGTACAGGGGATGACCAGAGACTTCGGACACAGTACAGGGGATGACCAGAGACTGCGGACACAGTACAGGGGATGACCAGAGACTGCGGACACAGTACAGGGGATGACCAGAGACTGCGGACACAGTACAGGGGATGACCAGAGACTGCGGACACAGTACAGGGGATGACCAGAGACTGCGGACACAGTACAGGGGATGGCCAGAGACTGCAGACAGTAAAGGAGATGGCCAGAGACTGCAAACCTTTGGGGAGGGAGGGGGAGTGGGTACCTGAATTTGACAGGTACCCGCTCCCAGTTCCGCAGAGTTGTCCTTCCTTCTTTTCCCGCGGCGGCTTCTGTGACAGTCAGGTGCCCACTACGCATTCGCAAGAAGCGCCGACGCTTTGTGAATGGTCCGGAGCCTTCTGGGACCTGCCATGTGTCCCAGAAAAACACCGGACCATTCACAAAGCGCGGCGCTTCTCGTGCATGCGCAGTGGGCACGCGGCTGTCACAGAATCTGCTGCAGGAAGACTGCAGCGCTGGAGCGAGGAACAGGTAAGGCCCTGCAGGAGAGAAGAGCTGAGAGCGGCCGGCCCAATATTCTGATATGGTGGCGGCAGAAATACCGGACCGGCCGCTTTACATTCGCTCCATAAGACGCACTGACATTTTCCCCCCTTTTTTGGGGGGAAAAAAGTGCATCTTATGGAGCGAAAAATACGGTACTTCTGGTAGTTTAATTGGTAACATTTGAAATTTATATAAGATTTATGGAACAATTACTATTTTTTAACAGATTTATACGACCTATCCATGACAGAGTTCCCCCACCTAATTTTCTTAATTCATCCTTAATCTCATTTAATAATGGAATATAATTTGATCTATATAAATTCTTGGGAGATACAGTTAATTTTATACTTAAATATTTTAATTCTTTTCCTCTCCATACAAAAGGAAATTCCTCCTGTAACATATTTTTCTCTCCTATTTAGAAGATTTATATTTAAAATCTCTGTTTTAGTTGGATTAATTTTTAAATTTGTCATCTCCCCATATTCCTTCAATGATTTCATTAAATTTGGCAATGTTATCCTTGGATTTCCCACATAGAACAACATATCATCTGCATAAGCTGCCACCTTATGCTCTGAATCTCTTATCCTAATACCTTTTTTACAGTGAGGAACAGAAGTATTTGAACACCCTGTGATTTTGCAAGTTCTCCCACTTAGAAATCATGGAGGGGTCTGAAATTCACATTGTAGGTGCATTCCCACTCTGAGAGACAGAATTAAAAAACAAATTCAGGAAATCACATTGTATGATTTTTAAATCATTTGTTTGTCTTGCACTGCTGAACATAAGTATTTGAACACCTGAGAAAATCAGTGTTAATATTTGGTACAGAAACCTTTGTTTGCAATTAGAGGTCAAACATTTCCTGTAGTTCTTGACCAGGTTTGCACACACTGCAACAAGGATTTTGGCCCACTCCTCCACACAGATCTCCTCTAGATCTGTCAGGTTTCGGGGCTGTCGCTGAGCAACACGGAGTTTCAGCTCTCTCCAAAGATGTTCTATTGGATTTAGGTCTTGAGACTGGCTAGGCCACTCCAGAACCTTGATATGCTTCTTACGGAGCCACTCCTTGGTTATCCTGGCTGTGTGCTTCGGGTCGTTGTCATGTTGAAAGACCCCCAGCCACGACCCTTCTTCAATGCTCTGACTGAGGGAAGGACGTTGTTGCTCAAAATCTCACAACAAATGGCCCCATTCATCCTCTCCTTAATACAGTGCAGTTGTCTTGTCCCCTTTGCAGAAAAGCACCCCCAAAGCATGATGTTACCACCCCCATGCTTCACAGAAGGGATGGTGTTCTTGGGATGCAACTCATCCTTCTTCCTCCAAACACGAGTGAAGGTTAGACCAAAAAGTTCTACTTTGGTCTTATCTGATCACATGACTTTCTCCCATGCCTCCCCTGGATCATCCAGATGGTCATTGGCAAACTTCAGACGGGCCTGGACATGCGATGACTTGAGCAGGGGAACCTTCCGTGCAATGCATGATTTGAAACCATGACGGCGTAGTGTTCTATCGACAGTGACCTTTGAAACTGTGGTCCCAGCTCTCTTCATGTCATTGACCAGCTCCTCCCTTGTAGTTCTGGGGTGATTTCTCACTTTTCTTATCAGTGATACCCCATGAGGGGAGATCTTGCATGGAGCCCCAGTCCGAGGGAGACTGACAGTCATCTTTAGCCTCTTCCATTTTCTAACAGTTGCTCCAAGAGTTGATCTATTTTCACCAAGCTGCTTGGCAATTGCCCCGTAGCCCTTTCCAGCCTTGTGAAGGTCCACAATTTTGTCTCTGGTGTCTTTTGACAGCTCTTTGGTCTTGCCCATGGTAGTAGTTGGCGTCTGACTGACTGTGGGGTGGACAGGTGTCTTTAAAGAGCTCAGACAGGTGCTACTAAGTTAGATTAATTCAAATGGAGAAACAGAAAAGGGGCACACCGACCTAGTGCATTATCATTTTAAAATATTTATTGAAGAAACAAAGTAAGTATCATACAATAGACATAAAAACACAGGCATGTCAAACTGAACAAGATGTATGATCCAAACAACATCTGAGTCCATATGATGGAACCCTGGATGACCAACTGGCTAACGCGTTTCGAGGACACGCCTGTGTTTTTTATGTCTATTGTGAGTATGATACTTACTTTGTTTCTTCAATAAATATTTTAAATGATAACGCACTAGGTCGGTGCGCCCTTTTTTCTATTTCTCCATTTGCATCCAGTGTATTTTGACCACCCTGGTCTGTTGAGGGCAGCAAGCAGTGCATATTCCTGAAAATTCCAGAACATTCCTATTGGGTCTACTGAGTCTTTTCCTAGCGAAGGAGAAAAGTGTTTGTTGTGTAAGTTAGATTAATGAGTGGTGTAGAGGTGGACTTTTTAAAGGCACAGTATCAGGTCTTTGAGAGCCAGAATTCTTGCTGTTTCTTAGGTGTTCAAATACTTATGTTCAGCAGTGCAAGACAAATAAATTCTTTAAAAATCATACAATGTGATTTCCTGAATTTTTTTTTAAATTCTGTCTCTGAGTGGGAATGTACCTACAATGTGAATTTCAGACCCCTCCATGATTTCTAAGTGGGAGAACTTTCAAAATCGCAGGGTGTTCAAATACTTCTGTTCTTCACTGTATATCTGTTATTCCTTATTGTAGCCAGCAGAGATTCAAAAGATAAAACGTACAACAGTGGAGACAAAGGACATCCCTGTCTTGTTCCATTTGCATCCCAAAGTACTCTGACAATTCCCCATTAACCATGATTGCTGCAGAGGGTTGACTGTATAATTTCCTTATCCATTCTCTCATTCTGGGTCCCAACCCCAATACTTCCAATGTATCCAACATATAAATTCAATCTACTCTATCAAATGCCTTTTCAGCGTCTACCGAGAGTAGCACCGCAGGGATATCTTCTTTCCTACTTTTTTGTATGAGAAACAAAGATCTTAATCCGTTCTCTACCCTCTCTTCCTGGTACAAAGCCCACCTGATCCATATTTATCCATTCCAGCAACAGGTCTTTCAACCTATTTGCCAGAACTTTTGCATATAGTTTGGTATCTGTGTTTAACAAGGAAATCGGTCTACAACTTGCACAGTGAGTATCATCTTACCTTCCTTATGTATAAGAACTACATGGGCTTGTAAAGATTCCCTCCTCCTTTCCATCTCTCCTCCCAATGCATTCATATATGTTCTCAATTTGGGTACTAATAGTTCTTTTATATTTTTTGTAATATCTCACTGTATACCCATCAGGTCCAGGACTTTTCCCAGCTATAGTACTTTTTAATGCCAAATATATTTCTTCCTGCGTTATTGCTGATTCCAAAGATTTTAATTGTTCCTCACTTAATTTCGGTAATCCCGCTTCTTTTAAATATGTCTGTCTTTTTTCTATTTTTCCTACATCCTCTTTACTCTGGGGAATAATATTATATAGCTTATTATAGTAGTCTTTAAACACTTTAGCTATATCTTTAGTTGAGTACACAAATTCACCTTTGTTGTCTCTTATTTTGTCTATATAATTCCTGGATTTGTTTTTCCTTTGAGCCCTCATTAAATATTTTCCTGGCCTATCTCTCCATCTATATCTCTTGCATATCATTTTATTAAACACTCTTCTCTTATCTTCTTCCAGAAAATTATTTAATTCTTCTCTTTTATTTATTACCCTCTGCATAATCTCTTTTGTTACTCTGTTTATGTGTCTGCTGTAACTCAGAGTTCCTTAAGAAGTATATTTATTTATTTTTTCTCTCCTTTCCCTCTTCTTTTTTGCTCCGATCGCTATCAGGATAACTCTAATATAGGCTTCATGAGTCTCCCACATCGTTGCTACAGACACTACAGAGTCATTTTCCTCAAAAAATTGCTCTTTTTTTAATCTTTTGGTCCGTCTCTTGATCCTGGAGAAGTGTCTCATTTTAACCTCCATAATGTTCCCCTATTCTGCTAATTTCCCCACAATAATTTCATTGTGACAGGAGCATGATCCAATATTGATATCGCTTCTATTTGTACTGTGACCAGAGACTCAATAAGTCGATGGTCCAACAATATATAATCCAATCTTGAGTACATCTCATGTGCATAAGAATAAAACGTATAGTCTTTTGTCATTCATATGCTTTATTCTCCTGATATCTACAAGTTGACATTGATATAACATTTTTTTTAAAGATTTCAGAGACCTACTACCATCCCTCTGCACATGGGACGTCATATCTATCTGAGGATCCATGCAAAGATTAAAATCATCTGCCACAATTAGGCTACCTTTCTTGAAATCCAATAATATTTCCTCAGAGTATTTTTTAGGAACCCCTCCGGTTTCTTATTCGGGCAATAGATATTTGCTAATGTACACTCCCTTTCCTGTAATTTCCCCTTCAGAAACCGAAATCTCCCTTCCGGATCCACCAATCTATCTTCCAAATTAAACCTGATATTTTTCGCAAAACCTATTGGCTCTCCCTTAGCTCGTTTGATTGGGGAATCTGCATAGAATCATATTGGATATTATTTGGAATTTAATTTCACATTTTGCTTCTCGTTCTAAATGTGTCTCCTGTAAAAAAAAAAAAAAAAAAAAACTGAAAAATATCTATGCTGAATCTCTTTTAAAAATCCTAAATTTCTTCCCAAATCTATTTAATCCTTTAACATTATAAGTCACAAAATTAATCTATTCCATTCTACCTTTCTTCTGCCCTCCTCTCCTCCATCTTCCCCTTCTCCTCTCTCCTCCATATCTTCCCCTTCGTTTTCTAGGTTTTTTCCAGACTGATACATTTCTTACTATTTCACAGAATCTTAAACTACCTAAAAACCCCCCCCCCCCATACCTTCCTCCCCTCCCTCCCATCCCGCTCCCTTTTTAGGCCAATAATTAGCCTATGAATCATTTGTGGTCTAAATCCCACCCTTGATTCCACTTTAGGGTGACACTCTGAGCATGCCCACCTCAACCCAGTTACACTCTTGCCAGCTTAACCAAAAGAAGGAATATAAAAAAAAAAAATCTTCTGGAGGAAAAAGGGAAGACAGGCAACATCATCCATGGGAAAAGAGGTCAGAAGGGAGAGATAAAGGGGGGAACCCCCCCTCAACACCCTCCTCTCCTCATCCCCTCAAGTTCCCTCCCGGTGGACCCCCTGCCACCTTTCACTTTCTATAATCCCTCTTTCTTCTTCCACCACACCCCATCC